TTCCAGTTAGTTTGATACGGTTTATTTAGTTACGGGGAGATTTTTTCAACCCCATGTTTACCTGACCGTGATAGAATTTAGTAATACTACTAATACACATGAATGGTTATCAGAACAAAATTTAAATACATGAGTGAAAATTATATGAGTTTTGGACAGATAGCTAAGAACAAATCGTTAAACATGAGTGTATTCGTAAGAGACATGCTCTAGACTCAATGTTCTGATCTGTGGCAGACTATTTATTTATATTTATACTTGCCGGCTGATTGGACATACAAGTTAGTTGCACGTATGAAGGCAGAATACGACTTAATTGAGATATAGTGGTTATAAGTTATTAAAATTAGTTAAACCTATGTGTCATATTACTAAGTGATGTGGTGCTGCAAGGTGTATTTGGCTAAATAATTTTTTACAAGATGATTAATAGTGAGTGATGCTCATGTGATTATCAGGGAGAACATAAGTTGTAACCAAGGGGAGTGCACTCCCAACTCATGCCTATGATAATAGCTTGAACCTTAGTCAGTGTTGGGGTAAATTCGACATTGATGTTTTCAGTTTGCAGGATATTTGCTCGACTGCTTATACTGATTATTTGCATGCATGATTGTGTCGCTAAACCATCAATTAGACTGACAAAGTTTTGAGATATTTACTGAATGAGCAACTGATAGAGAAACATACTGTAATCATCTGTAGTGAATGAAGAAAAACAACACTAGTGATAATTATAAGTCAATTTGCTGACCTATTTTGTTAATAGTTTCATTAATTTTATCAATCATGTTACGTGATTGTCAAGTCATGACAATGCTTTATGAAGATATCCTGAAACTATTATGTTTAATTAGTTATAGTGTTGATTGAAGATTGGCCAGTGGAAAAATAGGCATTGTTGTTTTAGGTGATTCAAAATTATCAGAAATTTATAACGTTAAAGAATCCGAGACGCCTAATTTAATTATAACTTTCAATTCAGAAATATTTGTTTAATGTTAATTCTAGTAGGCTACGGAGTTTTGATTTTAAAAGTTTGTTCAACCAACAACTACCTGAGGATTTAGTAATTTTACTAGTGCAGTTGATAGTACCTAAATTTTTAATCTTATTATCTAAATTATGTTTGCATTTTAGACTGATAATATGATAAACCAATCCATAAATCCAAATACGATTAGCAACAACGACTATGATGGGTTTATTAATAAATGTTAGAGGCGATCCAGATGATTTCTAAATTTAGAAGACATGGAGATATAGTGTAACGTATGTATGAACCAGGTTAACATGCAGGTTGTTGACGTATATGACGATTTAAAAATAATGAACATGACCAGAAAAACAATTTTAAAGTTAAGACTGCTTGTGAAACTTCAGGCAGGAATATGACGCGTTATAAACATTCCATAAGAAGTTACTGCATTTAGCCTAGGGATACTTACAAATATATGGCAAAAGCAGCTAGGAAACATACATGTTAAGTACAAAAAATCATTAAGTAAAATGGTTGAACTCGCCTGGATTATTTTTGAAAATTAGATTATTCAGTGGACGACATATATAACGCCATTCGTGAGGAGTAATGATCCAAAAGTATCCACAATAAAACATGCAGTATGGCAATTAATTCCAGTGTGTTTGATGCTGTTGGCGTTTTTGCCACTCGCTCGGATGAGAACGATCGAATGAATCCAGATAACTGTGTGTGCCATTGAATGAGCCATCTAAAATGAACTTATGATTGCAGAAAACTTATAGCTGGAACTCACCGTATTTTTTGGAGAAGTGTTATCCTTGTTGTTTGGCAATGGAACTCGAGAATATGAAATTAGGCAGGCAGTGGTCGGAAGAAAAGATATTACAGGATAGTGCAGTTTAGAAACAGGATGAAGTGTTAAGTGAAGGAACACTGAGAATTAGATCCAGATAACTATTCAATCCCTGATCGCATTGTTAGTCGATGTATATTTATGCTATTTACAGGTCATATTTGCTAGAGCTTGATGTTTAAACAAGTCTATGTCGCTGAAGCATGTAAATGCTATTAAAGCTTGTTAACGGACCATCAAAGCTAATAAGTTGATATAGATGATCAACTTTTATTATCGATTGGGCTAGTAAGTTATGTGAACTAATAGATATAACATTACGATAATATATGTGACCATTATTCAAAGGACTATACGAATACTGGGTTTACAAAAATAAAAACCGATTGAGAAGGTTAAGGTGGAAATAAGGATTAACAGTAATGGGTTGCGTTTCTTTAGTTGGGCTCACCAATGTAGAACTTATGGTCTACTATGATATTAGTACTGCTCTAATAATAAACCTAATCCTAAATCTGTGGATTTGTCATGATATGACTGCCTAATCTATAAGATCTTACGTGGAAGTCACACCATCAACTACACCAACTCACTGTATCACATCAATTACCAATACATGATGTAGAACAAGGTTAGGCTAGAGAAAGAACAATATATTTAATATGAAAAGAAGACATAAGGTAACATTCAGCAGAGACCACGCCTGCATGGCCGAGCCATGCCGTTCGATCAACTCTAGTCTATTCAATTCATTATTCGCGCCTTCTCCATCGTTAGGTATTTCTTCGCGTTAAATATTGAATACCTATTTTCCGAGTAATCTCGTATTCAGCTTTGAGGATAGTGTGGTTATGGTCCAATGCCACTACAGTTCCACATAACAACACGTGTTCAAACGATTGTTACTCGTAATTGTAATAAGTTTTATACACGTCGGGACAGAGAAACTAAAACCCATCGAATGTGCGTCTATTTAATACACTCTCGATGAGATGAGTTCAACCGTACAATGTTCAGAGGGTGAAACTCTAGGACAACAAAATGAGGACATTATAAAGGAACGGATTCGTCCGAAAGTCAAAACCAGAAAGACAAATAAAAGCTACCATTGGGTATCAAGAAAGAAGTGATTAGTCGATAGAAAGCCTTGGACACGATTTGCAAAGAAGTCACATCCGTCTCTGGTTTAATTATTCTAAATCTAGAGGAGTCAAAAGGAAATTACCTTAATGAAAGATATTCACACGATCTGGAGTTGGTAGAATCTGCCATCAGAAATGCACTCCGTGAAGAGGTTTTAGAAGTGCATATTACCAAAGTATTGGGAAGCAGCAAGTGGGTTCGAGAAGATAGTGAACCGAAAAGAATATTAGAGTGAGTACTCTGAAGTTACGAGAAAAATTACGCTTTACCAAGTAATGCATACAAAACAAATGATTCAAATATCAGTATCCTACCAGAATGGCCACTTAATGACCAAACCAAGTGTAAGAATGTTCTAACTAAGTTAAAAACTCGAAGAAAAAACGGACTCATGGTTTTTGGGTAATCAGGCTGGGAAGTTAATGGTTCTGTGACCTGTATGCTTAGAACCACTTATTTTCAAAACGCATTAGGCGTGTACTACACAAATGTTCGTAGCGTCCGAGATAATCTTGATGATGAATGAGTGAAATCCCGACATAATTGTTGTCATGAGAACGTAGCTCATTGTAGATGTAGACTGTTCTCAAGCCATTCAAGGATACATCTGTATTAAAAGTGAGATAGTTATGGATCGCGATCGGGGAGGGGCTTGGTATTATATGTTAGGGGTCACTTCCATGTACAAGCGAGCACGTTTAAGACGCACGATAGTGGTACGTGTTAGGTACCTTATAGCAAAATTAAATCTAGACTTCAGTTAGTGACTACCAGAGAAATATACCGTAGCTCATGTATTATTGCCGATGACGTTTCCTAAATTTATGTCTGTCCTTCGGGTGAGGCTGACTGTTGTCTCACAGTTTAAGATTTCAACGCGCTACATATCAACTAGATAGAGCGTACATCTTCAGATAGATATTCAGACGACAGCATACTGACAACTGTTATTCAACACGCACTTGTACTATGTATTGAAAAATCAACACATATTGACTTGGAACATGGACTATCAATGCAGAATCTTGTCCCTGCCACCCTCCGCTGTGGTAATATCACTGGCATTCATTGCCTCCCTTCACTAGTGAACGGTGATCACGTTGTACTGTAAGTTGTCTTTTTGACACTTTATGCTGTAAGCATTTTCTCCACTCCGTCCCAGTATTTGGTGAGCTACCATATCGGCAAGGATGTTAATACAGTAATTCCTTTTAAACCACGTCATACGTCAGTGCAGAAAATGATTATAAACAGTTTCATAGTCAGGATGTTTAATATACTGAAAAAATAATAAGACAGAGTATACTTTTTCACTTCCAGAAAGTCAATGAAAAGACATACTCACCAACAAACATGGTGATGCCAATGCCCTGTTTTGTAGAGGATAGTCTAGTACTGTAATTTCTCAAAAACTTCTGGGTGATCAGAGCATTATTAGTCTTATTCGTTAGCATGCCATATTTGATAGCATTATGTGGGAAGAAGCTTCTATTATTATTATTACTATTGTTATTATTAATCACAAACAGCTTATAGGTACATACGTCTTGTGAAGAAACTATTTCAGGTTTCTTCAGAAATGCAATACAAAGGTTTCAATAATATTAGCATAAAATTTGCCATATCAGAAAAACAGGTTCTGTGTAATTGAGAAGAATAGTGAATTGACTATAAAGAAGGAAAGAGAGAAATTAAGAGAATAAAAATGAAGGAAACATGAAATACTTCAATAAGCAATGGCCGTCGGTTTTCTTCGTTCTGTGCTTTTTTCAGCTATATCTTTTGTGTATCTATGTAATTTAAAGTTTCAGTGTGTTAAAATGCCGCAGTTATTGTAACGTTCTATATGTTGGTGTGAAACTTATTTCCAATCAGCATTGTGTTTTGGGTTTTTGCTGCTTCTACTCAAGTCAATGTATTTCTTCAGCCAAGCTGGCTAGTCTTATGTTTTAAAATGGTAATCGTTTTTGTTTTGACTTGTTTTCGAGAAAATAATATATAATATATTATATTTCTGCATATGCAGGTACACACCGTTTTTACAGGCATGATCTATAAACTACAACATTTGTTGGTTCACAAAATGTTTCCCAACTTATTAAGTTTATAGGTGTTATAAAGTGAAATCGTAGAGCGCTTGCTGTAAACTATGACCTTGAGAGGACGCGTACATCAAGTTTGTTCCAAACGTCAGAAGTTTCATAGCTGTGCTCTCAGAGCAAGATTCTGAAGAAAAAAGAGAAACAGAAGAGCAGCAAGGCACTTGGATATGAACGCAAAACGTTGCTTAACATAGTGTGGTAGAACGGACAGGTATGATAAATTAGAATAAATTCATATTATGTCTTGTTAGTGAAATGAAGTCAGAGACTCCATATTAGGGAATGTACTAATAAAGAACAATGAGTTGTGATGTTTAACAAGTTGGAGTAAGCTCACACGAAGGAAAGGAAGTCAAGGCTGTTACTAGGAAAGCGGTTTATAAGAAGGGTGTGTATATAGAGGGTGAAGTGTTAGGAATATTAATGACTACATCTTTTATTGTCTAACTTTTTTTTTGTTTTTCCGATGCCAGCCACACAATCCTAGTGTAAAAATCCGAGTTAGCATGTTATAGGTTGTCTTAGTAGAATAGCTAATCCAGCATAGTATTGGAAATATGAGTTTGAGTGGTGAGCGTAGGAAAACAATCTATATCACAGATTGATTAACTTATTCTCAGTCATGAGGAGCCTGATACATACAAAATGTTCTGTCCCCACAAACATGGGTGGATTGAAGTTATCGCCCTCACCATCAATGCTTGCTGGTCATTAACTCCACCCTCCCTCCTTTTGTGATGTTAGGCTCATTTAGCATTATTTTTGTATATACGTCATACCTCGCGCAATCCTCTGTTTCACAAACTGTTGGAAAGCACTATTTCTATAAGTACCATTTTACAAGCTTATCAGACAGGTACAAGCTATGGACTGTGGGTAAAGCATCGATGCAGTGCCTCTGTTGACTATAGTATAAAGTATATTTTGCCAATCAGAGTATAAGCGTTAAGAAGGGTATATTGTAGGATAGTTGTTTATTTAAGCAGGCGGAAAAAGTATAGAAGTATATGAGTTGTGGATATGGGAACGACTGGAGAAATACTATTAATTGCTAGTCAACATAGTGTACTGAAGAGTAAAAAGTTAATACAGGATAAACAGGAAGGAACTCACAGTAACTTGGTAGTAGATATCCAAAGCCGAAGTTCATTTTTTTAGCTAAAATAATTGGTTCTGTCGCATGTGACTAACTGTCCGCATTTTCGTTTCTAACTGTCCTTTATGATGTTATCGGCAAAATGAAAGGAAACAATCTCCAGTTTTTAATTTTCTTCAGTATTATGGACAACACTATCCCACCAAAGAGTCAAACTAATACTGAGTGCCCAGCAGTAGTTAATATCAGCACTATTTTCGAAAGGACTCAGACTTCCGACAACCATAGACGAAGTCACAGATGCTACCAATTTATTGCAGAGGGTTTGTTATAAAAACATATGTCATATAGCAGTAATGGAGGGGTGGTACTCATTACGTAGTGCGTTAAATCAAGCTTAACATTCAAAAGCCGGAAACCTGCTATCAGTGTGTAGTGTATATTTGCTGTTTTGGGCATAGAAGGAAGCCGAAGGGTCATGATCGAGGAGTAAAAGGTAATTAACTGTTATTGAGCTCACTTTTTTATAGATCATATTTCGCCACTCGCAAATTTGTGTTTTTTTACGGTATGATGTCAACTGTTACCTAATATGTACCTGCGAATTCTCACCTTCATATTCGAATTATTTTTGGACAACTGTCCAGTTTGAGTGCTTCGTACACACTGGGAGACTAGATTCATACATTATTCGTAGTTCCAGTATAACTTTTTCACGCAGTAAGTTCAAAGTAAACACTAGTCTTTCTAAATAAGCCTATTAAGCTAATATCCGTATTCTCTATTTCAGTTAATCCATTGTGGGAGGCCCGTGATCTGACTCCAATTCAAATTGTATGAGTGTTTGCTATCGCCTATTCTCGTATATCACCGACGACTTAAATCACGTTAGTCAATAACGGAATTAAGATAAGTCAATTAACGAGAATGGCCTTTGAATACATATATTTCGTAAGTAAAGTGAATGTAATAGAACAGAGCAAAACGACGCGCGTGGAAGATGGCTGGGAAGCCAACTCCATTTCAAGCTAGGCATTACTTAATATTTATAGGCGGACAAAATAAACGACAGACATGTGATAAGTCACGGGACATGAAATGTACACACATACGCTCATATGAAAACAGTCAAGACTAATAAGCGAATAATTAACAAGGTCAAAATATGACTCAAATAAAATGAATTAAATAGGATGTCCACAAGTTAGAATAAGGTAGATGGGCTTGCCATAATAACTGACACTACATAGCCCCCTTGTAGAAAATAGCACATTTAAAAAATGTCTGTTTTCGAAAATAACACTGAAGTGATATGAAGTTAACGTTAGCAACAAGTAGCGAAAAAAATTGTAAAACACTCGATAAAGTACAGTAGTGTCACATGAACGGTGAGTGTATTATATGAAAATGTCATATTTATGTAAAAGAATACATGAATATAGAAAAGGCGCGGACAAAAATGGGAACGTTAACATGCGAATATGAGCAATTTAATGAGCGTACAAAAAATTAACATGTGCTAATGTTATGATTGTCTGAACAATAAAATAACACGTTCATATGAGCGATTCAAAATATCGTGAAAATAGTGATAAATTGTTTGTGGGTATGACAGCGAAATAAATCGTAAAAATAAGTAAAGTATAATATGACAGAAATTGGTCTGTGGTGCTGACAGAATAGTGAAATATGTTAAATATATGTTCTGTTGAGCCGCAGTAGAATAAATAGCATCGACTAGTGATGAATTTAAATGCGTAGTTCCCGTTCGTAGGATGATAATAGTCAAGTCGTGAAATGATAACTGCATTGACGGGTGATATTCGTTGTTGTACTGCAATTGATAATAATCATAAAATGTGAAGTCAGTGAACGTTGTCGTCTGCGTTATGACAGATGTATTGAGTTATCGTTAAATATGTATTAGTAGAATGACCAGAGGAACAGAATAGTGACTGAGTAGACGAAGTACGTAGAGTCGTATTCCTTTTTGGTCATGAAGCCTAGAGTGGTTTGTGTGGTTTGAGGGAGATGCGCTCGATCTCGTTTGTTACAAAACCGTACCAAGGCATGACAAAAATACCAATACATATGATTAGCGATGGCGACATATGAGACTGACTTGGATGTAAGGAACAAGAGTGTATCTTTGAGAGACTAGCTCTAAACTCTATGTTCTGTTATACCGAGCGATGGGTATAGAATAGTAGTTGCAGTACTCGAATAACGTTTTTGGTTGATAAATGATGCGGCGTGCAGTTATGCATGTGAAAGAATAGATAAGATGAACGTAATGGTTTCTAATCAGCTAGTTAGATGCATCCACAGACATAATAGGAGGCGATGAAGAATGTGTGTTATGATAACATAAAATAATGACCTCGACTAAGTGAATGAATGTAATATTAGATCAAATGACATAAAAAAATTGGAACGAACTCACTTAAAGCAGGAAAATTTCACGTTTTGAATAATAAAAATATTCCAGTGAGTTTTGAATGTCAGAAAGTGGAGTATTCATAAAATGATAATCTGTTCAGTGAGCAATATGATTGCGAAAATGTCATAATTTAATGACAGCATGAACATGATTATTAATTCCACATTCGGTTATGATATTGAGAATAATGTAATAATAAGCATATAATGATAATTCGAATAGTAATGAAGCAAACCGACGAATGGATCAATGAGAATAGTTGACATGAGGACAAAGTATCGATAAGATAATACGACTTGAGCATGTCCATGTCATGTTGCACAGGCTGTGCTGGTTGCGTGGGATTGGAGATTGCGCTGGCTTCGCTGAATTTGTTCGCCGAACGTATAGAGTGCAGAAGTTCCTTCATCGACGTAGCTTTCTGCGTTGCGTTCGTCGTCGGCGGGCTTACCAAAGTGGTGACTCGAGTAGAATGAATAAAATGGGATATCCGCAAGCTAGAATAAGGTAGATGGGCTTGCCATAATAACTGACACTACACCATGAAGACATTTACCACGTGCATCTGCTGTATACTGCCATTTTACTCTAATTCTAACTGTTATATCTTACTTCAGAAAAATAAAATTGCTATATGCAGCAAATACAGACCAATTTTTTCAAACGAAAGGGTAAACGAAGTAACTCAAAAAGTACTGGATGTGGTTGTGAGACTAAAATGGACGTCCAGCATCCTTTTTATAATCTGCTGTTAGTTGGGTCCCCCGTAAACAGTTCCATAGAGCCATAGTTCTAAGGGCGAGACAGTTTTTAGGATCTGTGAAGGCTCACTCCTGTTGCATTCTAAATGAAAAATAGTGATGAATTTAGTCAGAGATGTGGAATAGATAAATAACCAAATTACATGTTTTTTAGCAAAGAATTTGTGCAGTTGTGATTTACCTTGGGTTCATGAATATTACATCAGGTCAGCTACTATTACTTGTGCAAAGCATAACATGGGCTTAGTACCGTATCGGTATACTTTTATTATTTTGCTCACATTTAAGTATTCCCATGCATCTGCGTCTAGTTTAACAGGAAGACATACAAGCAGAGTTAGTGTCTGATGAACTAAAAGTTCCAGTTGTCGAAAAGATTCTTAACATTTATCCACAGCCAGCTACATTTAATTGAGACACAGAACACTTATCTTCTAAGACTGTATACTGCTGTTTTTCAAGCTGAGACGCTTAGCTATCTTGCTACCGATGTTATTGCTGGGGAGAGTGTTTAATGAGAGAGTGGACAGCCCTGACGAACACCACTTGAGGTAATCAATTCTGATGACAGTTCGCCATAAGCTCTCACTCTACCAGTTGTGTTCGAGTAGAGAGCCTGAATAAGGTTAATGTACTTCTTTGGTATTCCTTTCAGTGACAAACACTGCCATAGAACCTCACGATCAACAGAGTCGAATGCCGCCTTAAGGTCGAGAAATACTACCATTGTGGGGCGTCTAAACGTGTGTCTGTGTTCTAGAACCTGACGTAGTGTGAATATTTGGTCTATACAACCACGTCTAGGTCGAAAACCGGCCTGATTTTCT